ACCCAGAGTGGATTTCGGAGTGGGCGGAGTACCATGGATATGATATTCAGCCTACGACAGGTTCAGGAGAAATGCACTGAACAGAACATGCCCCTCTATGCAGTTTTCATAGACTTTACTAAGGCCTTTGACACTGTCCCTAGAGGCGGCTTGTGGGCAGTACTGAAAAGTTTGGCTGTACGGATAAGATTATCAATCTCGTGAAAGCGTTTCACGAAGGAATGCAAGCTAAAGTCACTCGTGGGAGCGACTGCTCTGAGGGATTCGCTGTCTCAACAGGTGTAAAGCAAGGGTGTGTGCTGGCTCCGACACTGTTCTCATTCTACCTGGCTGCCATGCTGGAGGTTGCCTTCGAGGACACAAGGGAAGGTATCTACATCCAGACTAGACATGATGGGAACCTATTCAACGCCTCACACTTCAAAGCTAAGACACGCACAACACGTCAGCTTGTCAGAGATATGCTTTTTGCAGACGACTGTGCTCTGGCACACAGTGCAGCAGAGATGCAGGCATTGGTGGACAATTTGCACAAGCTGCCGCTATGTTTAGCCTCAAGATAAACATCAAAAAGACTGAGTGCCTCTACCAGCCAGTAAAGCTTCTACTCCCTCCCCCAAAACCCTGTGCAATCACCATAGACGGACAGCCTCTTGTCCAGACCACAGACTTCAACTACCTGGGTAGTACAATCTCCAGCAATGCTAAGATTGAAAAGGAGCTGAGGAACAGAATGGGAAGGGCGAGTGCAGCGTTCAGGCAACTAAACGATCGGCTATGGCAAAATAAGCATGTCTCGACCAGAGTTAAAGCCAAGGTCTATCAGGCGGTGGTGCTGACAACACTCCTTTATGGAGCGGAGGCATGGACAATCTACAGGCTTCAAGTGAAGAAACTGAGTGCGTATATGATGAGACAACTGCGGGACATTCTGAAGATATCATGGCGGGACAAGATCGCAAATGCTAAGATTCTCCGTCTGACTGACCTGCCACACATGGCTGACATGCTGATTCAAAAGAATTTAAGATGGATTGGTCATGTCCATCGTATGGAGAGATCTCGTTTACCACGCCAGCTATTGTACAGTCAACTAGTAGAAGGGAAACGAAACCAAGGCCGACCTCGACTCAGACTCAAAGATGTCATGAAACGAAATCTAAAGAGGAGAGACATCAACGTGACAACCTGGAAGCAACTGGCTGATAACAGACCGGCCTGGAGAGCTTCAATCCAACCATAGAACAGTCCTCGTCGCTTACGACTGACTGCATGATGATGATGATGATGATGATTTACACATGTGGTGGAATTTAAAAAAAGTTATTTTTCCAATGAAGAATGAATCGTGACATTAACTTAACAACTGTATTCTTTCGTTTTAGTTTACAGCTCAACTTGCTTTGCTACAGTTTGCCGAGTTCACTCTTCATTTGTCAAAACTGTCTCCCGAAATGTTACAAATCATTCGTGATAATGGAAGGTTAAACGTCACTTACTATAAGTTTGAAATCGATGAAAGCAAAGGTGAATTATTAAGTTTATGACAATTAGGTTACATAATGAAGGTAATCGTTTGTAATCTCTTGTTATACTTAAAGGTGAACTTGATGCCAATCGTCCTGTCCCATTTCGACTTACTCCGAACATAAGTGGATTCATCTCGCCAGTTGGTATTGGTGGTGTTCTTACTTCATCTATGGTTGCTGCAGCAAGATGTCTAGTTGATCCAAAGTTTAGTATTGATAGCATCCTTTGAGCTATTTTGCGGGACGAAATACTTTCATGGCACAAAAAGGTTATTGTTTTGTCTTATTTGGTAGATTATTTTTTTTAATTAATATAAAACGATGTTTTTGTACAAAAACTGTTAGTAAAGGCAGTATTTTTGGGAGATACTTCGATATCGACTAAGAATTCAAATTGTCTATTGCACTATGCTAAAGGCATTAAAATAAAGAATTTTTTCCAGTCTGTTTCAGTTGGCTTCCTGCATTAACTTGCAGCTTACTCGCAGTCATTTTTCCTAATTTTCTGCCAAAATCAAACGATAAAAACAGTACTGCCATTTTGTAAGAACACTTGGATATATTTTAATTTTTCTTTCTTAATAGCTAGGACTCATAATTTCATTTACAAGGACACATTTCTGATTCACAAGACACAAAGTATTTAAAACACACTTATTTTATTGCCTGCTCTACTAGCATGAAAAACTCACTTCACCATTCAATGTGTCTGCATTAGTTGATGAAGAAATTACTCAGTGTATTATGGAATTCGAGCTTCGATTTTGTGAAACTTCTTGTGAACTGCTTTTGAATAGCAATCTTTGATGTATGCGTTTGTTTGTTTTTAGAAATACGACAGTCTCATGCATTCTAATGTACAGTCAACATCAGAACAACTTGACAACGAAGATTTGATAAATTTAGTGAATAGTGCTGTCGGTTCTGTTATGACACGTCTCCAAAGTAAGCTAATATTTTATCACTTTCATTTTGTTAAATTTACATGAAAAGGGAAGATTGTATAAAAGCACAATATTTCCTATTTCTGTCAACAGCTGATTTTCATTTAGAGTGTGATAATTTCTTGTTTATAATTTCACTTTTATTGCAGATTTGGCAGAATTTGATGGCGCAGAAACCAAAGTTAGTACTTTAGTTGGGACCGCAATGAGTGCGGATAATCTTTGTCGTATGGATCCAGCGTGGCATCCTTGGCTTTGAATATTCTTTAACAATGGAGATGTCTTAGAAAGTCTTTTATTTTATGGAGGGCAAAAAAGATTCTTAGTACACACGTAAGAAAATCGTGCGAATGTGAAAAAAAGATTTTTAACGAACTGCGACATTTTATTTTACGAGTTTGTTTTTTACGTGCAATTTTTTTCACACAAGTCCCATAATTGGAAGTGAGGTCTTTGCTCCTTATGACTTTGGTGTTCTAATTAAACTTTGATGCAGATATGAGATCTTGGCAATTTTTGTGGAAATTGATTTCAACCGAAGAAATCGCACATCTTTGATTTATCTTTGCTAGCTGAATAATTTGCACAAATGTTTTATGTAGATAAATTGGAAAAGAACTTACGCTAATCCAAAGGAGAGAATGAAAATTACAACAGCCATGAACAATATCACACCACCCAAAACAAAATTTAGAACCATGTGAACCGAATCTACATTGAAAGGAAAAAATACTTTTTTCAAGACGTAGAAGTGGATCTTGGTCAACATAATTGGCCTCCTTTCAGCCTGTAAATATACAAGCCACTTAATAATTCAATGGAAATGAGTCACACAAATTCCTTTTGCTACTACGAAACTGGCATTTTATCAAGAACTACTTAAAAGAAATAAGAAATATCAAGTGTATCGGCTTTCGAGTTCATGCTAAATTGTGAAATAATGAACCGCTTACCTCCATCTTCATCACTATATTTGCAGTCCTTGTTATTATTGACAAGTGTCTCAGCTAAAGGATTTTCTTTTGTTGGTGTGTGAGAATGTTCGGTTGAACTCATTGATCCCTCAAAATGTTCAACATTCGATTTTTTGGTAATGGAGATAGGTGCAGTTTTAATTGTTAGTACTGTGGCTATCCCTTCAGTTGGTGGGGGCAATTTGCGACTGTACCTGATCATCGCACGCTGGACTTCATACGTTGGTTCACAGTAAGGTTGTTCCCATATACATGTTTCTGCAGATTAAATGCAATTTTGCATGAGCATATTTATTTGTAATAACGCATGATTGTGTATACTCTTTATAAATGTTACGAACAACTTTTATCGAGCTTTTTACGTGTTTCATGAAATGCTTACTTAGTTTTGGAAAGAAACAAAAAACCAAGTCTAATACCAAATTACTGACTTATCAATTGACCCCGTTGACTGTTGTGGTTATCGTCAATTTGTCTTTGATTGTAATAATGATGATGTAACATCACGATTAGCTCAGTTTATGTTAGAACAAAAAAATTCTGTTTGGATTGCACATAATAGTGGTAGATTTGATACAATATTTTTATTAAAATACTTATTGACAGAAAAAAACTTAATTCCGGAGACTGTTATGAACGGTAATAAAATTTTATCTTTAAAAATAAAAGAAATTAATCTGCAAATTATTGATAGTTATTCATTTTTATCCATAAAATTAGCAGACTTTCCAAAATCACTTGAAATTGATAACATTGTAAAAGGATACCACCCATACAAATTTTTTGATCTGACGTATAAGGAAAATATGATTGATAAAAAATACTTTGATATTTCAGAAGATGATAAAAACGATTTTAACACATGGTATGATAAACAATGTGAAAAAGAATACGTATTTCGAGATGCAATTTATTATTATTGTAGTAATGATGTTAATATTCAAAGGCTTGGATGTATACAATTTTCAAATTTAATCTACAACATTACAAATATTTTGCCTTTTTACGACACGACATGCCTAACAATCGCTGGTTTAACATTAAAAATATTTAGAAGTAATTATTTACAAGATGATAAAATTGCACAAATTCCATCATTCAGGTACAGGGGTAATACCATGCAAAGTTTAATAGCATTATGTTGGTTGAGTGAAGTTAAATCAGAATTAGATGAAATGGGTTACACTTTAGAATACAAACTATCCATTAATGGAGAAAGAAAAATTCTGGGTAGATTTGTTGATGGGTATTGTGAAGAAAACAATACTGTATATAAATTCCACAGATGTTTTTTCCACGGGTGTAGTAAATGAATTTATATTATGTTATTATGAACACGAAGGAATTCAATTAGATAGAAGTAATATTAAGAAAAATATATGTATCCACATTCGGCAATAGACTCTACGTACCAATCATAGATCATCAAAAAAGAAGCAAATAGATTTCCTAAATTTTCATAAATCAAGATCCAATAATATCGTACACATCTCTTGCAAGACTCTTCGCCTTATATTTGTTAGAGGGACATTATCGTAGGAGGTAACGTGAGATCGTCATTTGTTTCACCAGTATAATCAAACTTGGCTAGAGCACGAGCAGGACCCGAAGGCTTTACGGTAGAAGATGTTTCTGCGATTCTGTCTGTCTTATCCGCAACATTTGCTGGCGCTTTTCTAAAGAAAATAGGAAATTTTTCGAAAATGACATCCAATCAAAAAACGCAGCGAGTAGACTACTTCAAAAAGCACGCCGCGTTTAGTGACAAATGCAACTTCTAACTTTGTGTTTGCTTTCAGTTTTCTACATTGGTTTTATGTTCAATAAAAGTGACAGCACAGCTACAGTAGCAAGACACTATGGAAAAAGCTTTGAATAAAAATGTCGTCACTATAGACGTCGAAATAAAATTAAAGAAATACTTGATTCCGTAATAGTCTTCAAGAACATAAATATAAAAATATTTGTAGACATTACCTTGTCGCATTACTTTGGTAGACGGGGTTCGACAAGCTGGAGCTTTGGTAGGGAGCTCTTTTCCAGGCGGGGCTTTTGCAGGTGGAGGTCTTGAAGGTTTTGCCTTTGCCAACGGTGGCCTAGAAGATTTAGATTTCTTTTGCTTCTTCTCGCCGGTTTCACCTGTTTCCCTGGGATGTTTTGGCATCTCGTTTGTTATTTCCGTGCTCGGTGGAAAGCTAGGTCTGGAAGGTGGAGGATCCCCTTCCGAAGCTTTCGCATTTGTAACATTTCCCGAAGAAGATTGTTTTAGCTCGACTGGCTTCTTTGCAGTAATAATTGTCGGTTTTAGTTTCGGGTTTTGGTTTAGTTGTCTTGTTAGGAGGTAATTTCTCCTTAGCCGCGATAGTTTCATTTGACTTTTCCTCGTTTTTGACTATTGGCTTCCTGCTAGGAGCACTTGGTTTAGACTGCATATTCGGTAGTGAAACAGGTTGTTTTTTCGAAACTTGACCAGACGAAACACTTACATTCGACTTAGAGGCCTTTTCAGTGTTTTGAGTTTATTGAATATTCGGTTGTGAAAAAGGTTGTTTTTTCGAAACTTGACCAGAGGAGCTATACGACTTCTCGGGTTTTGAAGTTGATTCACGACTATCTGATAACACATCCGTATAAAAGAGCTCGAATCTTGTTTGGAGCTTTTAGAGCTTTTTGGTCGACTGTTAGTAATTTGCGCCCTTCTCAACGTTTCCGACGGTACTGGGGCTGGTCTCTTTGGTTCACGAGAGTATCAGGAGCAGGAGGTTTACTGCAAAGTTGAGCATTTTTGTTCACAGACTTAGTTGAGGCCGGAGTATTCTTGTCAATAGGCATTCGATTAGGAAAAGCAGCACTCTGATCCATTGGTTGAGCGGAGACAGTAGTGATGACCGGACAGTTCCTAAAAATGAGCATTATTGTTCACAGACTTAGTTGAGGCCGGAGTATTCTTGTCAATAGACATTCGATTAGGAAAAGCAGCACTCTGATCCATTGGTTGAGCGGAGACAATAGTGACGACAGGACAGTTCCTACTGTCTACACCCCCCCGGATTTCATCTTTCACGTGGGATTCTCTCTTCCTACTGTCTACGCCCCCGGATTTCATCTTTCACGTGGGATTCTCTCTGCCTACTGTCTACGCCCCCGGATTTCATCTTTCACGTGGGATTCTCTCTGCCTACTGTCTACGCCACTTGTCTCATATAATGGAGAGACTAGAATGGCTTTGTTCACATGGATGTAACACTGGGACGACCTTGTATTTCATTTTCACATTCATGCTTCGGCATTTTAAAAATCTGGGAGCGTAGAAATGGCCGATTTTTGCATCAGTGTGAATGAGGCTTTGAAGCCGCCTCTCCCCTGGATGAAGTTTCCCATAAGTGAAAACACGTGAAAATGGAGTGTTATCTAATGGCGCGACCAGCTCGATAAGAGGGGGGTATTCAAGTATACATATTTTTACCCATAGAAGAAGAATTGATTTTAAATGAACTTAAAACGCCAAAACAGAATATATGAAAATTTGTCCCACAAATGAGCGAGTGTTAGAACTTAAAATTGATGAAATAAATTCAATCTAATTGAAGGGATTTCACAACCATGGTTCGTCTGACATTTCTTCTCTTTTTTCTAGAACGAAACTACAGTAACAGTAGATGCAAAATCTAGTGGACCGTAGACATAGACCCAAATCTTTGCGAATCGGGTGAAAAGAAAGGGCGAGGTTAAAAATTAAAATATGCATCGTTTTTGGATATGTTAAATGTTGAAATACATAATTTTTGAACACGAAGGAAAGATTTGTTCTAAGAACAGGGAAGTTTTCACAATCAAACCGCGTTTTAATCATGGAATCAGCGGCAGAAAGTGGCGATACTCAATCGTCTACTGCTGTCGTTGATGCTCGTGATTTTGTTCAATTTTTAGTGAAAGTTGTGCCGGCAATTTTGGAAGGTGATACCGATCAAAGCCATGAGCTTATAAACGCTTGCAATAATGACGAATACTTTGAGTGTATAAAGAAATTTCTTTCTGATCCTCAAACGCGAGCGTTGATCGTAAGCAAGAGTGTTTTAAAAGACGAAGAAGAAGACAAAGCTCAGATAGCGCTGCAGAATCGGAAAGAGATGGACGCATTTCTTATTCAATACATCTAAATGTTCAATATACAGCACCCAAGCTGAACAGCGTTGGTTTTATCAAACGATTTGCTGTTGTTGAAGCTGATAAAAAGATTGCCTCTCAGCTGAGGCTTTTGAATTTAAGCGATGATTCCCCATTTGAGACACTTCATGCCCTTGTCAGCAATGCAGTTGCTCCTTATTTCAAAATCATTTGTTAAAACATCTGGAAAAGCAGACAGGTAATTCTAAGAAACGGCAATTTTTGGTGATAGCTCTTACTTTGAATGTGAATTTTTTTTGATTGGGGGGTTGGAGGCAGTACAAACAGAAAAGTTTGAAAGGTGCATCTTAGTAAGGTTTCATTGACCATTTCGTCATGTATCGTGGACTTTAGCTGCGATGAGAAGAAGGGGGTAGCTCAGATTCCCCAATTATTATAAGAAAAATGGGACAAAAACCAATTTAATAAATATCATTATTGAAATAAAGGCGGGAACATTTCACAATATTTTTTACTCACAACAAGCATGTTATGGCAAAAGAAACAAGTAACTCCTGTCGATGTGAGCACTACACTATAATTCACAATTACAAACTGCTTCTTTGTCATCAGTAAATACATTTTTTCATTGATCTGCAATGTAGTAGGGGAGGGACAAAACAAAATATTCTTCAATAAATTACTGTTTAAACGGGCATATTTGGTATATGTTGTAATATTTTCAGGATTTATTTTGCAATAATGTGTTAGCTGTTTAGTGAACTGGTATGTAAAACGTTTAGCATTTTGCTATTATGTGTGTTATCTTGGCATTGCTTTTTAAACTCTTATGACAAATTTCATTTTTATGAAATCATGCCTTATTTCAGTGGAAGTAATTTGAGAATGTTATGTTTACATTACAAATTTTTATTTTAGCCTTTTTAACTTCTGTCTAAATAACAATTAATTTAACTTAAGGGATGGTGATAAAATGGTACCGTCTGTTGTGAAGATTTCAGAATTGGAAATGGCACTTCTACATTTGCAGCAAAATATTGACATACCTGAGATAACATTAATCATTAATCCAACTGTCTTGAACATGATCAAGAAATGTGAGGAAGAAGCAAGAAAAGCAAAAGTTCAAGACTTTGGAGAACTTTGTGAAGATTCCACCTTTCTAAATCAATTACAGAATGGTGTCAACAGATGGATCAGAGAAATTCTAAAAGTATATTTTCAAAAAAGTTGATTTGTCTTATTAATGTATTTCACTGTGTTTGAAAATGTTTTTTTGTGTGTGTAATATTGGAATTTTATGCTTTGACGTATCCACTGTTTCAATAAGAAAATTGACATTTCATTATAGGTAACCAAGCTAAATCGTGATCCGGCATCCGGAAATGCCTTGCAGGAGATTAGCTTTTGGTTGAACTTGGAAAGAGCGCTCCTATGTATTCAAGAAAAACGTGAGAGCTTTGAAGTTGCTTTGACTTTGGATATCTTAAAGTGTGGAAAAAGATTTCATGCAACTGTTAGTTATGATTCTGACACTGGTAAGTAAGCATGTATATAATTTCATTAAGTCTACACATCTCTACAAACCTGGATGTTCTTGTTTGATGATGCATTGTTTCATATCTACTTTTATTAGGCTTAAAGCAAGCAATAACAACTGTGAATGACTACAGCCCTATGATGAAAGATTTTCCTCTTGATGATCTTTTGTCGGCTACTGAATTTGATAAAATCAGATCTTCTCTGACACAGATCTTTGCTCATCTCAGGAAAATTAGAAACACAAAGTATCCCATTCAAAGGTGCTTGTGATTGGTTGAAGCAATCTCACGTGACTTAAGTGCTCAACTTCTGAAGGTAAATACCGTCATATTTTCATCTATATTACAATTTGTTAAAAGATCACCTTGTATTAATCAATCTTGTTGATAATTTCAAGTCTTAAATAAATAGTAATCATTTACACTTATTTTGAAGGTGTTAGGTCCATCGAGACTTATGCATATCCCTTATGAAGATTTTGATAAGGTGGGAAAAATTTTAAATAATATTTCTACAAATGAATGAATGGCAGTAACCACTGTACATTATATGATTTTTTTATGTACGATAGGTTAGTTAGATACTTATAATTTTGCAGGTGATGGTTGCATGTTTCAAAGTGTTTACAACCTGGGATGAAGAATATGAAAAACTATAGACAATGCTTCGTGATATTTCAAAGAAGAAACGTGATGAACACGGAAAAGCTGGTCGTGTTAATCCATCTCAGAAAAATCACAAGGACGACTTGAAAACGTCAGAAAGTAAGCTTTGACTTGTCGATTTTTATATTTATGTGAAGGTGTTGTTGCACTAAAGCATAATTTTTACGTAATTGTTCCGTAGTTTCAGTTATGTTTAACTATTTTCTGTTGTTGAGTAAATTGAGCGTTCTGTCGCAACTTCAGGTTTGAAGAACGAGGTTTTTACGTAAATCGTTCCTGTGCAAAAAAATTGTGAAAGGTTTCCTTACGTTTTATTATAAAGTTAAGTGATATTAATAATTTATTAATTAAGTGATATTTAAATGTGTATATTGGTCCGTTTCATGATATCTCTCATGAAACGTCAAGGGTGGCTGCCAGATTGTACCGTTATGACACAACACGTTAAATAAGCTAGCTATTTGGTTTTTGGGAGCGGACATGATACTTTAACGTACGATAATCTTGTATTGAAATTTTGTTATTGTTATGACCCACGTCCTTGTTGACGGGTGTAGATATAAAGCGGACCCGGACGCGGACGGCGGACCCAAACGCGCAAATAAAATGCTTTAGGTCCGTTCGTAAAATACTCTTATTCTACGTCAAAAAATAAACATTGAAAAAGCTAAAATAAAAACGAAACTAAATGGTGCTTTTAAGAGACATAGGTATAGGCAAACAGTGTAATCAGTTTCGTGCAGCTCTGTTTTTAATGATTGTACGAACGTCTGTTTGTACGAGCTTTATCTTTCAGGATGTATTTTTTGACCACATTATTTAAAGCAATTAAACATGCATATTTCAATTTTCAGTCAGTCATATAGAGTGTAACGCAATGAAACCTCATTGTATTTTTTCGTGTTCTGCGCGTTTTGCGTCCGCCGTCCGCGTCCGCTTTTATCTACACCCCTTGTTGACTTAGGGGTGTTTACATGAATCGGAATGAGTTTCGATCCGGAATGAACTCATTCCACTTTAGAAGAAATCCTATTGTATGTTGAATCAATGAGTCACAACTCGATCCGGATTGAGTTCATTCCTAGTTTCATTCCGGATCGAAATTTCATTCCGGATCGAAATTTACTTTTTATCTCATGTAAACGCGAATTGAGTTTCATTCTGGAATGATATTGTGATTAATGACGAAGCACGCATGTGCCATGGGTATTGCCTTCTGGCAAATTGAAGCTCGTAAGTAAATAAAGAGGCTAAATGGGTTAAAATGAGTGCGAAGAAAAACAACAATTAGTTTCATGTAAACACGGATTGACATCACGTTTCGATGGGGATTGAAAGTCATTCCGGATTCATGTAAACATCCCCTTATACTGAGAATAAAGTCACAAAAAAATTGAAAAATTCCTCGTTAATTGAACTTTAGCTACGCTGATTAACGATCATTCCTCTTATTTGGACACTGAAACTTTTTTAAAGTTGATTAAAATTTAATTGTTTCTGATAGCTTATATGGAACACGTTGTATCAGTGTTGTTGCATGAGAGTGTATCGCAATTTGTGATCGTGCAACCCAGTCTCTTCCTTAAATTAACTCTATACGCTAATTGTGAAAATACCCTCAAATTGACTCTATAAATCAATTTGAAACGTCCATTCAAAAAACAGGCCTGGTGACATGAGTTCCTCCTTTGCCAGTTGCCGAAATGAAAAAACCAAAAAAACTTAGCGCGCCCCCTTTTTTTTTTGTTATTGGAGCGAAGATATTTTACATTACCCTGTATCAGTATTTTTATGAAATATTTAACACATCGGGGTTTCACCTCTTATTTATGCAATCACACATGTCTCATAAACGCAGTGCAATAAGCACTTTAAATTGTGCTGAATTTGGAGACAAAAATCTGTCTCTTGATTGGTTTATTGCCGTTCTGCTGACTAACGAGCCGGCGTTTTTGCTGAAATGTTCAAGCGGTGTTGTGCGAAATTCAGCACAGATTGTTGATAGCCGAGGTTTTATCTTGAGCTTCAAAACCAACAATATTAATGAGAAGCATGGCATCTTTTACTGATCGAGTTGAAGATGCTTTTACGAGGAAAGATGATGCTTTTACGAGGAAAGATTTCAACTCTACGGAGAGATGTTGGATTGCCTGAAAGTCAACAGTATAAAAGTAAACATAGCCTTAGCAACTGTATGGATGAATTCATGAATATCACAATTCTTGAATGTGTGTATAAAACATTAACACAATAAACGTCAGTCAATTCATTTTTGACTATTGTTTGAAAGATTAACCATAAAGAAGTGTCCAGGTGATTCTAGAACACAATCTTATCTTTTGTTTAAAATTTTTTCATCACTCCTTTATGCGTTACTCCACTGAAGAAGAGCCATACACAACGCGGATATATATTTTATATCAGCTGTTGTTCCTGTATTTCAAAGTGAATGTTAAACACAAAAACAATGCCGGCAAAACACAGATAATAATATTATTGTTATCATAATACAATAATACATAGTACATATTGATATTAATATTATGATATTATGATAACAGTATTATTAATATTATGATAACATTATTATGATTATTATCATAATCATAATACAATAATTACAGTAGATACAATGGGATACATATAATAATAACAGTAGCTTATTTCTTTTTTTTTCACAAACATTCAATCATTCGACTTTCCTATAAAAAATGTAAGTAGGAAAAATATTCTATAGGACCAAACACATTGTTTAGAGAAATATGAAATCATGCTTTTGGTGCACATAACAAAGCTAACAAACGTTGACAAAATGACTTTCATATTTCCTTGTAACATTGCTTTGTAATGGATTTATATTTCTGGAGCCCGTTTCACGATGACTGGATAGCGTTATCCATTGGATAGTAAAATTTTCAAACTTGTAAAAAAGTGTTTATATTTTCTTTACGACATACAAATTTTTGTAATCTTGGAAGCAATAATTTCTTTTAGTGAATGCTCATTTCAAATCCTATATTTTTGTCGGTTTTTTTAACGTTCAAAAAAATTTGCTATCCAGTGGATAGCCCTATTCTGCCTTCGTGCAACCGTCCCCAGGTCGAAATGAGAATCTTAATCAATTAGCAAAGAAAATACTTCTAATTCAACAATACAAGAACTGTTTTCAAAGTAAGAACAATCACGGATCACTGAAACGTAAGAAGTATTTGCAGAACTCTCTACATGTAAATTTTTCTTAATTCTCATATCGTTATAGTCATGTAACACCTTGAAAAGTATTCCTATCTCTTTCATCACACTAGTACCTGAGACATTGTATAAAACTCCACCATGGCATCAGTCAACTGTTGAGCAGAGCTTCTTAGTGAGGGGATCAACCTCAACATGGCTCGATTACAGGTTCCGTATATCTGCGTTAAAGAAACTGCACCATGACAGTCGACATACACAACAGGCCCGTGACGTAAAAATCTACAAGAAATAACAATAAAACTTGTTGAGCACGTGACATACAGGGAATGGTTATTATAAACGTTGATAATCTCGTTAAAATAACATCTTATCGGTCACCTGTGAGTGAGTGCCTTTCTTCCTGGATCCGTAGGAGGATTACATGCTCCAACAAACTGAATTCTTTCTAACCTCACCCAAGATTGATCAGATGAGTGATAGAAACCATTGTGCTCTACCATTTGACGCAAGAAGGAAAAAACTCTCTGGGTACCTGGTAAAACATTCCATGTGAATGCTTATAGATCAGTTTTACAGTATGGTACATGATGATAATAACTATAGGAAATATTCTGATAAAAATACGTTCTTGCTGCAATATAGTCGGCGATAACATGCTATTTAATATCAACAAATGACGTTTGCATATTCTAAGAGAAAGTCAAAATGTCGAGGGTTTTCTTAAATCGCCAAACAAATTTGAAGAAGTATCAACGTAAGATTATAGCCATTTAACACTTTCCTAAAGTAGCGTATGAGTACTAGATTGCCACTACATTTGCAAGAACTTAAGAGACGATTTTATCTACTAGAACAAATCACACGATTCATATTCAATACCAAACATATTAATACCATGATTATCCTTATCATACCATAATAAACGTTTAAATATAATATAATACGCGGCGTTTAAATATAATACGCAGCGTACATGTACGTGTACATGTACGTGTACAAATACGCGTACATATACGTGTATTTGACTGCCGTTGTACAAAACATGGAGGACTGAATAAAAAACCGCAAAACCAAGGTAATTGTAGTCGTAATATAAAATACTTAAAATAAACATTTTAAATTGATGGCAATATTTTTTAGTTTATATTTTTAATCACAAACATTTAAAATGCAGGTTAATAATATGAAATATGATACAAGTGAGCTGACACTTAATGAATGTAGCTCATGTTATATTGGTTAAAACAGCAAACATTTAGCCACAAGGATCAAAGTCTCAAAATCTCCGAGACAAACTAACACATTCACAAAAAATCAAGGTACTCATTAAGTATCATCTCACTTGTATCATATTTATCGCTTCCGCTTAATCATAACAAATCGAAAGTCAAGGAGGTTCTTGGGCTGATGAGCTCTGTTTTCTGTGCGCATAACATTGAAGAGTACTCTCTTTTTGGGTAAAAATTGGCAATGTGTGAAAGCACATGCCGATTTATTAAAATAGAAATAACAAGTATAACATAATATAAATTAATTATTTTACACAATTTAAACCAAAATCTTTACGAATAAAGTTTTTCTATAGCACAGAAAAGGTGGGGTGATAAAACGCCACCTCTGAAACAAGTCTAAATAGTACATGCAAAATCACAGAAAGGGAGGGAGGGAAGGGTGGATTTTTCGATAAATTTCACCTGGAGATGGGCACCTACTGAATGATATGTGATTTGTTTGTGCATAACCTATAAGGCTAATACCTGTGCACGTGAATCACACTACGTGCATGTGAACAAAATGCAAATAACTGTAGCCAACATCCTGTTTGCTCTTGTAGCGTCCACAATGAACCTTGGACTCCATGACCTTAGCACGCGGAATTCTTTGAGTAAAAGTAACAAACTTTCCCAGTACTTTTTCTATGTTAGAGTGTGTCCCACTCTCTCTTTGTTTCCCTTTGATTAACATAACTCTTATTTACAATTTAAACTACAAAATAACCCGCGGAAGCAATAAAATTATTATTCGCTTATGCAAATAACTCCTTTATCGCTTCCGCTTAATCATAACAAATCGAAAGTCAAGGAGGTTCTTGGGCTGATGAGCTCTGTTTTCTGTGCGCATAACATTGAAGAGTACTCTCTTTTTGGGTAAAAATTGGCAATGTGTGAAAGCACATGCCGATTTATTAAAATAGAAATAACAAGTATAACATAATATAAATTAATTATTTTACACAATTTAAACCAAAATCTTTACGAATAAAGTTTTTCTGTATAGCACAGAAAAGGTGGGGTGATAAAAACGCCATAAGCCTCCTGAGCTAAGGAGGCCGCCCCAACCCATCAGCCGCAGAAACGCCTGTACAATAAAATATATAAAAACACTAATAATTTTTTAAATGAGCAAGACAAATGTTTAAGAAGATGAGACCTATTAACTACGAACGTACCCGAACTGTTCATCTATGAGTGAGATAAAAAGATATCAATCCCACATGCTAAGCTGTTAATTGTGAACGTAGCCCCTGCATCCGAACACCGAATGAACACAATGCAAAAAGAAATCATGCAGCCGCTAGCCTAGCCCTGCATCAGCTAAACGACAGCAAGTAAGATCATTTTGCCTAACCTCAACTACAACAGAATATGTACTATGAGCATCTGTCTTGCCAAACAAGAATGCAGCCACCGTAAGTCCCCAGCCATTACAACGAAGAAACATTTAAACTTGGAGCTCTAATGTATTTGTGAAATGCGTCCGATCGCCAACGACCCATCGCACGAATCTGGGCATCAGAAAAACCCCGCTCTGCTGCAAACGTAGCTGCTCCGATCCGAAAACTATGCCCTTTGTATTTGGATGAATCCAGACCACACGCTCTAAACACTGAAGCTAAGAAATTGGTAAATAAAGTTCGTGGGACAGTGTTACCTGAACTGAGTTGAAACAACGGTCCATTGGAAGAATCTCGAACAGAAAAGTAATTGAGCAAGCTTTGAACCGGACAGATATCTGAACGACCCGATAACGTCAGAACGGCAGGTCGTTCGTTATACGAATGTTTGAAGTCATTTAATGTTATCTTAATTTCGATTGTTTTATTAGTTGCATCGACCACCTTAGCTACCTGGTTAATATTGATAACTGAAGGTGACCTATGACAAGTTGTAATCTCACCTATACGTAAAAAGGCAAAAAATGCATTGGTGCACATGGCTTGAAAAAGCCTCTTGTCATAAACAGTGGAAGTTAATGTTGCTATATTCTGCAGAATACTGCGAAGTAAGGGCATAGTAATTGGCAACCGAGAATCAATTCGAGTTCCTATCTTTTTATAGCCTTTTAAAATCTGAACAATCCAAAAAGCTTTACTAAGGTCAGGGTAATCCGCCAGTCGATGACAGTACCCAAGCGCAGACACATATGTAAGCACCGTAGAAGGCTCATACTTACGTTGGAACAAGAAAGCAATAAATAAACTGAGATCTGTCGTTGAAATAGGAAGTGAAACTAAAGCTCTTTGAAGAGCCTCGTGCAAAAATTGTTGGAATAATTTCCAAGCACGACGATAAGTGGGGACTGACGATGGCTGCAAACTAGATTGTAGTAAAATAGAAGTTACAGCTTCCAATTGTGCGGTAGTAGATGTTCGGGAACAACCGACGGCAAAGTGTGAACGTTCGCGGGGGCTAGCTCTTTGAATTTTGAAACCTGAAAACGCGACAAGGCATCAGCTAGATGGTTGTACACACCTGGTATATGTTTGGCACGAAGCAAAATGTTAAATTTTAAGCAAGCTAGCACCAGGCGACGAACAAATATCATCACTGTCGGGTCCCGAGAGGTAGATCTATTTATAATTTCGACCAATGCTGCGTTGTCTGTGTGAAATAATACGCGTTGATCACGCAAAAGGTGACCCCATAACAATACGCTTAGAACGATTGGGTAAAATTCCAAAATAACGATGTTTAATTTTTTCCAGTGCTCAGGCCAGGCCCCGTAACACCAAAATTTACCGAAAATGGCTCCAAAGCCAAAGCTTGAAGAAGCATCTGTGTACAAATTCAAAACATTAGATGGAAGCCAATAGTCGGAAAGAAAAAATGACCGACCGTTAAAATCATCGATAAAAGATTTCCAAAGATTCAAATCTGCTTTTACAGACCTTGTCAAACGAATGTAGTAATGATTTACCCTAACTCCTTTGGTGATGTCAATCAGCCGACGAAGAAATGCTCTGCCTGGTACGACGACCATGCATGCAAAGTTCAACAAGCCAATCAACGACTGGATTTCTTTTAACGTGGCCTTTTTCCTTTTGAGGAATTCTCCAAGAAGCGTGCCTGTTTTGAGGATTTTGTCCTCTGGTAGACGGGCTTCCATAGCATGCGTATCGAGCTCAATGCCAGCAAAAGTGAGGATATTTAAAGGACCAAACGTTTTTTCTGGAGCTATTGGTACACCGATATGAGCACAAAGGGATGTAAACTTTTGTAATGCAACGCAACACTGGTCGAATGAAGGGGCAGCAAGGAGATAATCATCAAGAATATGAATAATATGTTCAATGCTCAAATGGGTTTTAGCGATCCATTCTAGTGCAGTGCTAAACATTTCAAAAGTGCGGCAGGACGATGCGCATCCCATGGGCATTGCCCGATCAAAATAGTAGTTACCCTGCCAAAACATTCCCAAAAGTGGGTAATCCTGTGGAAGAATGGGAATGATACGAAATGCATTCTTAATATCAGTTTTTGCCAAAAACAGCCTTTCCCCAAGCGTTTAATAATTGCAATGGCATTGTCCACTCGCGAATAAGAAACTGTTGTATATGCAGAAGGAATACCATCGTTAATAGACGCCCCATGCGGAAAGGACAAATGGTGAATCAACTGAAATTCGCCCGGAACCTTTTTTTGGCACTACACCTAAAGGTGATACATGCCAGTTTGGAAATGGAATTTGAGGAAAGAGCCCCTCAATTCCACCTGCCGCAATCTCTTTTTCAAGCTTAGCACTGACCACATCCGGATTTTGATTCGCCGAAACTAAATTGTGCACCTGAATTGAGTTATAAACACCCTCAAAATGAAGAGGAAAACCATGCGTAAAGCCTTCAAATAACTCTAAAACGATTTGGGCATTGTATCCTTGTAACAAACGTAGTAAACAGTTGATTCTTACGGGGGTTGGAAGCTTGTGTAGTTGTTGTTGATTTTCCAGCTGTGTGAAACTTGCCTGAGTGACGAAATTTACACCCTTTGGCTGGATGCTGCGAACCACATTTAAAACAAGTATGTTTGTAAGAGCAACCTGAACATTTAAATCCTCTGTGAAAGATTCGATAAAAACCCAATGGAATGAAGATGCTCGATGGAGAAGACTGAGACTGTCCGAGACGTGACCGATTGACGCTATTACGACTAAAACTTTGCGCTCAGATCCACAACTCAAAATGAGTTGTCCCCCAAGGCATATCGTGCAAATGAGATTGGCACATATAACGAAACTGTGTGTCATAAAATTGCCAGTTTGCACCACGCGCGGCTAAATCGCGAACAACCTCAGAATACTTCATCAATGCAGGAGCAACCTGGGGAAACTTACTGGTGTATATCCCAACGAAAATCTGAAAGGCAGAAGTTTGTTATGGGCTTAATCTTTGTAGTAGGTTCCAAAGAAAGGGTAGGAATGAAGCCATCATTTTGAGTTACTGAGAGATGATATCGACTATCACATCCCCTTGAACTAAGAATAGAACTGAAGTCAACAAACTCGTTTGCCCAGATCTTAGCTTTAATTTTTGAGCTTACTTGAGCATCAATGGGGATGGAAATTGAATTAAAATCTTTGCATGAAGAATGTGGACTTTCAAGCGCCAGACTAAGTCGCTGCTCACCTGCCAAATGTTCTAAAGCAGATGCCACTGGCCCCTGCACTTGGGCATCAAGCTCAGAACTATTAATAGGTACTTCTCTTGTGTCGCTTACTGTCGCAGAGGTCTGCAAACTTTCTTTCACAGCTTGAGCCACTGCTGTGGCGATTTTCGATATGGTTGCATCGTTGATATTGGTCGCAGTTGATGACGACATCGATGATTCGGGCACAGCTGACGACTCATTTTCAGCTGACGTGGGTGTAGAACCAGGACGAGTTCGTTGACCCCGAGACCTTTGTGTCGATACATATGCTCGGCGTTGAATCCTGGTGCGTGGTCTAGTAGCAGGCATCATACACTGATATACTGAAAGCAAACTGAAGGAGAAGCTACAAGCTTCAATGAAACGATAAAATGCAATTTGCAAACAATGAGAAGGAGTAATTACACAACTTAAGACAGCACAATTTTTAGTGAATGGCATACAACAAAGGTAGCCGATATAAATGGGCAAAAGTACAAAAACGGTGACTGGCCCCCTGTTTATTGAAACTAGACGAAGCAGATTAAACATTCTATGAAAACCATACACTGTTACTGACAAAACAAGACAGAGACAATTGAAAGACAACATAACGAAAATAAAGAACAATATAAGAAACAAGCTATATGTCTTGAAGGGTCGCGTGGAATTGAAGGAGAATTGCTGGTTTCATAACAGGGGATACGCTTGCCATAACCGTGTGTACAGCCCAAAGATAAATAATCCCGTGGAGTCTCGGGATATAAAAAATTTCCAACTCGGAAAATAATCAAGTTGGTAAAAACAAATTCTGTACTCCAAACAGCAATAAATCCCGTGAGATTTAAGAATTTCCAACTCCGAAAATAAACAAGTCGGTAAAAACAAACTATGTACTCCAAACAACAAATAAATGTCGGACACAAATAAATTCCGATCAATGTGCATTATGTGATGTTAGTATATAACAATCAAGCGTTTAAATAAGAGAGTGCTTTCAAGATTGCTCCTCGATAACTTTTATACAAAACAAACTGTCCTTGCGGGTTACAATGAACACCATCACAGGACAATAAAGTGTGGCCAACTTTATTGAATGCACGATGCTCCCAAAGAAAAATACCAGGTATTTTATCCAGAACAACAGACAAATACTGACGTAAAACTGCCGCTTTCTTGTTAAATGCAAAATCAGGAGTTTGCGATTGACTGATGTTCCTGTTAATCACCTGACACAAAACTACTGTCCTCACATGAAGGTCATTCTTTAAAAACAAAACTAACTCCTCCAAACGAGAGCCTGCCGTCTCGGGAGACAACTCTGACAAGTCATTTGTCCCTAATTCCAAAATAACTATGTCTGGAAATTGGTTTTTAATGAATGGTAAGTCATATTGAAAAACTTTATCAACTGTACGACCTCCAATACCATGTAGAGAGACGCAGCCCGAGGAAGCTAAGTTAAAATTTTGCTTTGCCCGCGGGTCAAAAAGCTTATCTAAATCCTCCTGTAGACGGCGAACAAATGAATGACCAAATATTAAAACTTGTGTTACATTGCTCCACATATTTAACAAGATAAGCGAAGAGTAATTAATTTGAACGCAACACATATAATATAGTACCTGGTTTTTTCGATAAATTTCACCTGGAGATGGCCACCTACTGAATGATATGTGATTTGTTTGTGCATAACCTATAAGGCTAATACCTGTGCACGTGAATCACACTACGTGCATGTGAACAAAATGCAAATAACTGTAGCCAACATCCTGTTTGCTCTTGTAGCGTCCACAATGAACCTTGGACTCCATGACCTTAGCACGCGGAATTCTTTGAGTAAAAGTAACAAACTTTCCCAGTACTTTTTCTATGTTAGAGTGTGTCCCACTCTCTCTTTGTTTCCCTTTGATTAACATAACTCTTATTTACAATTTAAACTACAAAATAACCCGCGGAAGCAATAAAATTATTATTCGCTTATGCAAATAACTCCTTTCTATATTATAAATAACGTATTATACCAACGGTATAATACGTATATTAGATTAATACCGTATATAAATACGGTATTAATATACCGTATATACCGTATATACGGTATATACGGTATATATATATATGTATAATATACGTATAATTATATAATTATATTATTATATATATACGTATATTATATAATAAAATATATAATACATGTATTTATGTATTATATATTTTATTATATATATTTGTATATGTTTCACCATGTATTTATGTATTATATATACTTTATGTATTATATATACTTTATGTATATATATATAAATACATATGGTGAAACAAAAGTCGGAGCGCGAGGTGAAAACTCCGCGTTTTCACCTCGCGCTCCGGCCAAGCAAAATCCGGCTCCGACTGCTGTTAAAACAGGCTCCGTTAGAAAGTTTATTTGCCGGAATTTTCGAAGGATACCGTTTCTCTGTAACTCGCTTTGACGTCTTTCATGATGAAGAAGATATTGCGGCCTGGCTCACCATCGATTTATAGTAAAAAAATAGTCATTCTTGGACTATCTTGTTACCAATGCAACAATGGCGTCATGTTATTTTTAATACATAAAATACTCGATTTTTTTGAAGTTTTTGCTTTTTCATCAACAATAACTTCGTATGTTTGCTGTATTTTTTGTTTCGGTTTGGAAAAACATCAAAACACCGGCTCAAGCACACATTGCTAGTTAGTGGGAGTTACCAAAGGCGTTGTTGTATTTCGTATGTTAGGTCAATACTAAAGCTATAGCCGTTTTACTGTTCATTTACAATTCTCAGCTACAACAAAGAAAATAAATTGCCATATTCATGGTTTTTACCAGGCAGATGATCCGAACTTAAATGGTGGTTTTTCGGGAAGAGTTCTTTGTCAGTGAATCGCTTAATAATTTTCGCTTTTCGACTGCAGTTTTTGAAGTTGAAAATTGATGTTTGAATGTCTGCGTTGCTCTTCAATAATGGCGAAAACTTTAGCGGGAAAATATAAATGCCGGCAGGAGTGTTAAGCAAATTTATTGTTTTGAAAACTGGTTTAATCTAAACTAAAAATAGGTACGAACTGTGTACATGGACTTGCACACGAACACGGTTTATAATGATGTTAATTATTATGTGGCAGCGTCACTTCCGATGGAATGTGGCGCTTTGATCAGTTTTTGAAACATTTTTGGCGTTCCATTTGTCTACATTTTTTGATCGCGTATTCCAAAGTAATCCACTTTCGGAAAATGTTTTTCGTATAATTTTCAATTCGGTACAGGATTTTCAAACTGTTTACCTTTGAAAATTAACGTCTGCCTGAAATACTTGCTGTATTGCAAAATCTGGCTACTTCTCGTTTATCGTGCATCGAAACTTTCTAAACTTTATCTCTACGTGAATGTTGATCATTGATTCTTCTCAGCAATACGACGAAGAATTAAAAATTTTGTCCGACGGAATTGAAGATCAGCATAATCTGATAGATCGATTGAGATTGGATAATCAAACAGAAATGTCGGGAAAACGAAAGAAACTCGAGGATGCCAAAGAAAGGTACTTTGAGGAGAAAGTAATTATGAACATGTTTCATTTTGACTGTTACGGGATTTCATCATGAATTTCACTTCAAATAATCGTGATATTTTCATTTTTTGTGTTACCTCAATTATGTAAAGATTAAAATCAACAGAAGTAGAGTTGAAGCGTGAAGAAGAATCTTTAAAATCATTTTTACGTAATGGGTGTGAGCGTGTTCTGAAACACAAGACTATAATAGAGGTAATGTTTTTTTTCACCTCTATTTATAATAAAAGATATTTGCCGTGTTTTAACCTGCTCGGGAGTTTTTACAAACGTCTCTGTGGTTTGCATAAACCTGTGTAAACATGGAAAAATTCTTTTCTTTTATAAAATAACAATAATGCCAAACAAAATTTCAAGGAAATGTCTTAACCCCCTCATTAATGTATTCATGATCGATTTGCAACATTCTCTTTAATTGATTTAATTCATTGATCACAGATTGGTTTGCACAGACTAATGAAAACTTAATCTGCTCAACTTAAACTTAAAATCTTCAACTTAATGGCGAGCTTTAGCAAGAGTACGACTACGTGTACGAAGTTTGACCGTGTAAGGGAATGGCACGAGGAAGTTCGTGGTCGTTGTCGCGTCGTCAAATGGTTGTTTTAGCCGTAAACAACAGAACGAGCTTTTCCTGTGAAAACACCGCATTTTGAGAAGCAGCTACGGCTCTATTTGTTAATAATAATATCGATGAATTCGTAATACTGATTTAGCGTGGGTATAGGACTGTTTAGAGAAAAATCTTCATTATTCTACCTTTTATGGATTGTATATTTGCATTACTTTATTGTCTTTTTATAATTCACTTTGCGTCCCAGATACATGGAAGTTTTGCAGGTCGTATTTTCGTTTTTATTGTAAACCTGCGTTCATAAAAAGATACTGAAATAAAGCTTGGAAGGTCAAAAAAAGTATTGTAAACTAAGTTCTTGCACAATAAATAAATATACCTACTTTCGTTTCTTTAAAAGACATCATAGATATCGTACTCAGATTGATGACGGCTACGAGTTGTTGACGTCACAATGTTTTCGCGCCAAAATGACGTAATTCGTACTCTTTGCTAAAGCTCCCTAATGAAACTTAAGCAAACCAATCGACGCATGCGTTGTATTTTTGTTGTGTTGTAATGAATTAAAAAAAAAACTCGTGGTTTTTATTGAAATGCCAAATCGTAAAAGAGCTTGCTTTCCTCGCATAGAATCGTGTTAAAGAAGTTCAAAAGAACACGAAGGAATGGTCTGTGAAAATGAGGAGTGCTATTCCCGAGGTTTCCTGCGTTCTTTCCAAAGATGAAATCGACAGGATTCTAGAAGATACCCATGAAGAAGTTCAAGAAAGTGCTAACCTGGAGGAACAAGCCGCTTTCTCGTAATACTAAGTAATAAAGTGATGTCTATGTTACGTATGTCGCTTCTTGTAAATACTAAATACTGTTGAAATACAAACTTGTTTTGTTTTTTGTAAATTGCATAAAACTGGGAAGAGGATGCTTAAGTCTTCTCTTCTTTGACGATTGACATTGGGATCTTTGCGAGACAATTGCAGGGGGCGTCATTTTGGCTCACAATATCGGGGGACTGAAGACTTAAGCTGCTCGACTTAAGGCACGGTAGCCATTAAATTTGCTCGACTGAATAGCGTGGTATAATTTTCCTTAAAACTATTAAAAAAATCGTGTTTTGTATTAGTTTCTGTCGAAAATTTTGTAAAGTAATATAAACCCAAAATTGAACACTGATTACTTGCTAATAATGCATAACTTGCTAATTGAAGGAGGGCTTTGTGTGCGAAAACTCGAACATTTTAGAAAAAGTATATTTACTGTGTTTGTTTATATGTTTATTTTCGGACACGTATTTCACGAAAAGTGTAGTTTTGTATAAGAAAAACCTCTATTGTGTAGAAAGTCGATCCCCATTCGAAAACGTGGACGTGAGGAGGCGGGAACGCTTTCATTTTCCTTTCGGCTAACACAGGATGATGCGACCCTGACCGTCTTATAAACGATAAATGGTCAGGTGATCATTTAATTACGATCTCGGTAATTTCATGGCTTTTACTCGACTTTGCTTTTCATGTTTATACTTTATATTTCCTTAAATACAAATCATTGGTCTGAAAATTTCCTCATTGTAAATTACTGATGATATTTTTAACTGTGATAAAAATGTAAAAAATGTTTATCATCATTCATACCAACATTGCCGCTAAAAGTTGAAACTAAAAAAATAAAAAAATTCATGTATTAAATGCTTATTTTTCTATTTTCTTGTATAAGGATCAAAACGTACGTATTTACCTATGAAAATCCAATTCTTGTTTAAGTATTCCAGGAAGAACAAATTCGACATTATGCATTCCTAAAAATTAAAATATCAATTAAGAAAAATATTTCACTTTTTCAAAAAATAAACAACAGAAATAACTACAAAAATAACTTCAAACCAATTCCCGCCATTTTCATTTCACGACATAAATGAGTGTCCTCGTCACAAGTGACACAGACAAATGCTGGATAGCCCTAAATATCCATAGTTATCCACAATTTAAACACCATCATCACAAGGTGATGTATATCAACACAACAATGAGCTTACATCTTGTTTTTTTTCTCAGATAAACTTTTCCATTCCGTTTTTTTAGGAAGTTCTGTCATTATCTATAAAACAACAAAAAACGCACTGAACATTGATTTAAAAAACATCTATAATCATGACCTCATAATTTTAAAAGTAGAACGCCCTGAAATAAAAAAGTATATAAAGAAACGCTTAACTTTCCTACCCGTCCGCCAGCACAATATAAACTTTCCATCATATTACGATAGTCAGGTCGAACATTTGCGGTCACGTATACTGTTATATCCTATAAAGATATAGTCGTATAATGAACAAGTAAAATCTGCGTTTTGTATTTGGACGTCTAATGATTAGAAGTCTTATAATTAATTTCTATGTAAGACTTAGAGTGAAGATTTGGGGGAGAAAATTTGTTCACTCTGAATTAGTTCTACTTATTAATATGTCGTTTTCAAGTATAGCACCAAATATAGCATCCATACCATATAGCTGCCTTCTTCCTTAATATATCTCATTGTAACAACTCTTTAAAAGTACATTTACATATACGATGATATAGTTAATCCCTTGAAGGAAAATGTTTCTTCCTCTAACTAAAACACCAACCTGAAAAGAGGTTTTGCTTGGGCTCGATCAATAGACTGGGACAGAGACATTCCATAAAGTCTCTCTCCATTATCATCTTTCAAAATAAAGTCCTTTTCATCTAAAATACGAAAGCGATTGCAGAACAGCACATTCTTCATGTTAAAATATTTGTAATATAAAAGTAAGTATAGAAATTGTACTTATTCAGGTACACTACAAAACATTTTCACACTTTGTACGGTCTTTCTGATTATATTCTGACATATTGTTTTCGTAAGAATAATAAAGACAAGTCAAATGTTATTTATGTATAGTAATACGCAACAAACTCTCCTTGATAATGACTTGCTTCAATCCATTGAGGATTGACAATATAATGACATACCGAGATTCCTGTTAGAAACTTAATGGTCCTCATTATCTATAATTATCCAACAATGTACATATGAATAAAAATACATCTACTGCAAGAACATAAAGATGACTTACTTTAGTAGCAACAATGTGTGTACATGTTCTAGTCGATGTTGATGTATCTCCACCTAACTCAACCAATTTCTAAATCAATATTTACATAAACGAAACGTTACTTTCACATGTTAACATTAAACTCTATAAACCAATGACATATTAACTATTGAAATTAAATAAGAATAAATTTAATGTATGTTGAGATGTTTTAAAAAGTCGAAACTTGACTTACGTCAGTCATACGTCTTACTGATCTGGGATTAAGGCCAGTGAAAACAACACGAGGCGCTTCTTTTACACGAGCATTTGTTAATGATGCCGGTAACTTCGTGGATGGAATGCTATAAACATATTGAATGGACATCGCATAAGGGCATATCTACGTAAGAAAATTCACAGAATATAATCTACGGAGATGGAAAACAAGCGAGTGGAAAAACACGTTCCATGTCTGGTGGTTTGTAAGTTGAGTAGATAAGTGTTAAAATTGTCTTGCATGAGTAACTGCATGAGACAGTAAAGAAAGAATCCCGATGGTCTATTTTTATATTTTGAATCTTAATAATGAATAACACCCAAACTAAAAAAATGTCAATATAAAATGTCTCTTGCATTGAGAAAATAGCTGGCTTTCATTCGCTACTTTTCAACGTTTATAAAGAAAATTTCGATGCTGCAAGTAGGGTTCATTAGATTTCTAAGATAAAAATGTTACTATAAGATTTAAAACAATACACGTAAAAACTGCGCGGTGAAAAAAAAGAAAAAAGAAGAGACCGACTAAGTCGCCTGGATTAGACGACCAGGACAGCGCTTGGATATCAGGTATTAAAGTTTTGTTCTTCTCAATATATTTCATGTCTGTTTTTCTTCATTCAACATGCTGACATTTATAATGTGTTTTTATAGAGTAGCTACTATGTCTGTATGCCTTGTAACTGGACAATGAATGTACAGACCCAGTCGGACAGAATCACCAAGAATCAAGCGTCCTTATTAAGAGATTCATATTTGCGACTTCAGCAATGCATAATGTTCACTACTAGTACAGCGCATTTTTTAAATTTAACCTTAAAACTTTCCGTAAGACATAATTTTCTGTCCAAAAACGTGAAAGCTAGCTATTAATGAAGGTCTCTTTTACGTAAGTCATGACGTTACTTAGGTCATTTCATATTTCATTGTTATTGCCAGGTGAATGGTCTGATTGTAGATACTGAATGTTTTTTTCATACGAATTACATATGGCTGCTTTTAGTTTTCATTTTTCGTCTATTTATAAAAATTTCAGTTAACACTGCGCTCTTTATTTTTTGTTTAAAGTTTAAAGTTTTTTCTTTATTTTTTGTTTAAAGTTTGCGTTTCTTTTGTTGCAACACAAAATCTTTGCTGTGTGGATAGCGTAGTCAGCCTGCATTTGTCGCTCTGTAAATTTGAGTTTTTTATACGACTGTAACGCACGATCTGACTACACTGCATGTTAAAGTAGATCATCGGGATTCAGGATCATTGAAAACAACAAAAATAGGAAACATCTTAAAACTACAAAAATTTTAGGAAATTTTTCTAAATTTTCGCTCTTTTCTTTCATTTGAGGGTTTTTTACCGGATCCACCGGTTTTCCCTCCCATTTCGTTTTGTTTTGACAAAAAAAAACAGTGTCCATATTTGGGGCCAAGTGATGTCATTTGTTATAACATTATTTGCTGTAGCTATCATGAATATTCACTTTTCTTTTTCTTTTCTCGGCCTTCGGGTATATCTCCTGAAACACTGTGCTTATTAAATAGCATACATTCTAAAAAATAGGCACATGTGAAATGCGTACATGTTGGTAGCCTTCACGTATATAAAAATGCGTACATGTTGATAGCCTTCAAGTTTACAGAAATGCGTGCATGTCGGTAGCCTTCAAGTTCATAGAAATGCGTGCATGTTGGTAGCCTTCAAGTTTACAGAAATGCGTGCATGTTGGTAGCCTTCAAGTTTATAGAAATGCGTGCATGTTGGTAGCCTTCAAGTTTATAGAAATGCGTACATGTTGGTAGCCTTCAAGTTTACAGAAATGCCTGCATGTCGGTAGCCTTCAAGTTTATAGAAATGCGTGCATGTTGGTAGCCTTCAAGTTTATAGAAATGCGTGCATGTTGGTAGCCTTCAACTTTATAGAAATACGTGCATGATGGTAGCCTTCAAGTTTATAGAAATGCGTACATGTTGGTAGCCTTCAAGTTTATAGAAATGCGTGCATGTTGGTAGCCTTCAAGTTTACAGAAATGCGTGCATGTTAGTAGCCTTCAAGTTTATAGTAATGCGTGCATGTTGGTAGCCTTCAAGTTTATAGAAATGCGTGCATGTTGGTAGCCTTCAAGTTTATAGAAATGCGTGCATGTTGGTAGCCTTCAAGTTTATAGAAATGCGTGCATGTTGGTAGCCTTCAAGTTTATAGAAATGCGTGCATGTTGGCAGGGGCGAAACTAGCATCTTTTGAATGGGAAGGGGGGGGGGCTGGGGATGAAATTGCCCTGCAAGGACACAGGATGCCCTGCAGATCATATGGAACAGTACTTACACCATATATTTTTGTAATACATGTTGTATTTTTGTGACAGAACGCACTTTAGCGTACTATTAAATCTTTAATGGCAGTTTTCGCATCTTTGCAGTTGCCCAATTTTTTAAAATAATATTTATGTCAACATTGTCCGTAAGATCTTTTTCACATGCAAGAACGATTAAGTCATTTAATCGCGTATCTTTCATTGTGGATCTCAGGCAGTTTTTGACAATCTTAAGCTTGCTGAAACACCTTTCATCTTTTGCCACGGACACTGGAGCGGTCAGCAATAGTTGATACGCCTTGCACACCTTTGGAAAGACGCTTTTGTGTTTGAAAGCAAATAACGCAACGTCTTGAAGGGATTTAGGTTCTGATTTAAGTTGTGACGACACAATATTATTGAAAATTTCCAACTCAGACAACAGTATTTCTGCATCAACATCTTTTACCGCCGGTGGAAAAAGACTACACATTTCATTAACTGTTTCAGCCATCGGCCTTTCTAGCGGCAGCTGTAAGCTCTCTTCAAGAGGTTTTATTTTGTCGATGCAATCTTTAATGTTATCGGTATACTTGGTAATAAGTGAGTCTAGAACCAAGTACATTTCCTTTCGGTAGAAATCTTTATATGATATTTCTGTTGCTATTTCGGAATGCTCGGCAATACGTTTGGGTGGCTTTCTTGATCGATGACCAGTGTATTCTATCATTACGTCTATTCCTACTTTGGTTCCAAACGCAACCATTGCCTCAATCTTCGAGTCTAATCCGTTCTCGTCACTTCGAATTTGTCTAAGGTTTTTTACTGTAGCATCAATCAGGTTAAGTGCATCTACTATATTTAGCTCCTCCTCCTGCAGTTGTTTGGTTAGGATTTTGGTTTTTGTCCGTAAAATAAACTATACAAACATTAATTACTAAAAAGCTTCAATCAATTTAGATCAACAAAACTTTATCTTAGTGTTTGTGTTACTGATGTAAAAATATAGTATGGTGTTTCCACTTAAGATATAAAAACTTCAATAATTTTACTTACGAACACTTCGATGATGATGCATATCTGCTTTTAAAATGTCCGCCAAAACAAGAGGAAATTTATAAACGGAAAGTTTCCTTGATGCGTACCGTTTACCGTTTACCGTTTTCCGTTCTTACACATGAAGTGCAAATCCAGCTTAAATTAAAACTGAACTACATTTTCACATTATGTGGATAACTGTTCGCACGTATCCTAGTGTTTAGTTTTGTAATTAGCCCTGCAAATTCAATTGTTGCCCTGCAACGTTAACATTTTTGGGGGGTTAGTCCCCCCCCCATACCCCCCCTTAAATTTCGCCCCTGAATGTTGGTAGCCTTCAAGTTTATAGAAATGCGTGCATGGTGGTAGCCTTCAAGTTTATAGAAATGCGTGCATGTTGGTAGCCTTCAAGTTTATAGAAATACGTGCATGTTGGTAGCCTTCAAGTTTATAGAAATGCGTGCATGTTGGTAGCCTTCAAGTTTATATAAATGGGTGCATGTTGGTAGCCTTCAAGTTTATAGAAATGCATGCATGTTGGTAGCCTTCAAGTTTATAGAAATGCGTGCATGTTGGTAGCCTTCAAATTTATAGAAATGCGTGCATGTTGGTAGCCTTCAAGTTTATAGAAATGCGTGCATGTTGGTAGCCTTCAAGTTTATAGAAATGCGTGCATGTTAGTAGCCTTCAAGTTTATAGAAATGCGCGAATGTTGGTAGCCTTCAAGTTTATAGAAATGCGTGCATGTTGGTAGCCTTCAAGTTTATAGAAATGCGTGCATGTTGGTAGCCTTCAAGTTTATAGAAATGCGTGCATGTTGGTAGCCTTCAAGTTTATAGAAATGCGTGCATGTTGGTAGCCTTCAAGTTTATATAAATGGGTGCATGTTGGTAGCCTTCAAGTTTATAGAAATGCGTGCATGTTGGTAGCCTTCAAGTTTATAGAAATGCGTGCATGTTGGTAGCCTTCAAGTTTACAGAAATGCGTGCATGTTAGTAGCCTTCAAGTTTATAGAAATGCGTGCATGTTGGTAGCCTTCAAGTTTACAGAAATGCGTGCATGTTGGTAGCCTTCAAGTTTATAGAAATGCGTGCATGTTGGTAGCCTTCAAGTTTATAGAAATGCGTGCATGTTGGTAGCCTTCAAGTTTATAGAAATGCGTGCATGTTGGTAGCCTTCAAGTTTATGGAAATGCGTACATGTTGGTAGCATTCAAGTTTACAGAAATGCCTGCATGTCGGTAGCCTTCAAATTTATAGAAATGCGTGCATGTTGGTAGCCTTCAAGTTTATAGAAATGCGTGCATGTTGGTAGCCTTCAACTTTATAGAAATGCGTGCATGTTGGTAGCCTTCAAGTTTATAGAAATGCGTTCATGTTGGTAGCCTTCAATTTTATAGAAATGCGTGCATGTTGGTAGCCTTCAAGTTTATAGAAATGCGTGCATGTTGGTAGCCTTCAAGTTTATAGAAATGCGTGCATGTTGGTAGCCTTCAAGTTTATAGAAATGCGTGCATGTTGGTAGCCTTCAAGTTTATAGAAATGCGTGCATGTTGGTAGCCTTCAATTTATAGAAATGCGTGCATGTTGGTAGCCTTCAAGTTTATAGAAATGCGTGCATGTTGGTAGCCTTCAAGTTTATAGAAATGCGTACATGTTGGTAGCCTTCAAGTTTATAGAAATGCGTGCATGTTGGTAGGCTTCAAGTTTATAGAAATGCGTGCATGTTGGTA